GTGCTCTCATGGCAGCAAAGATACTGAAACTGAAATGGCACAGAGGAGATTAGCACGGCCCTTGTGCAAGATGACAGGCAAATTGTGGAAGCTTCCATATAATTTTAAATTTTATTTACAAAGTGAAGAGACATGCTTTCATGTAATTATTTGATTATGCAATTTAGCGTGAATAAAACGGATTAAGTGAATCCATTAATTCCTAGTCACTTACACATGCACAGAGCCAATTCCTGTGCCCATATGCGGGATCCCATCATGAAGAACAATTCCAGGAAGACAGCTTAGACGCCTCAAAACTTATCGAGTTATATTTATGGTCAGCCCTATAGGGATGATTATTAGTAGGTTTTGTTTTTGATCAAATCAGTATGTTTTCATAGCAATTACATTCATAAAAAAGGCAGATATGGGAAAATTAAAATCTGCAAAGACCGTGGAAAACATTATTTGTATTACAAACACTCTTAGGTTGACTAAACAGTAGATGCTAGCTTAGCTTTAAACATGGAGCCTCCCTGATGAGCGTAACCTGTGCTTTATTTTACAAACTTCTTCTGAAACAGCATAATTACTAAAAAAAAGGTGCAAGTGACTGGTCAGAGGATGGAAAACGCCTGGAATCAGAAAGCCATGAGCTTGAGCTCTGACTGTGAATGAGCTGCTTCTGACAGTTCAAACCGTTTGTTCTCTCTGAGACTCAGTTTTTTCTCTAAACGGAGGAATGTGACACATGTTGAGTTGTTTTGGGAGTTAAGTGAGGTGGTACGTGTGATCTCGATTTGCAGTGTGCTATTCAATTAAGGTAACTGTTTGTTATGGACTGAATCTGTCCCCCTGAAATTTAGATGTTGAAACCAGACATGGGATTTGGGGATGGAGCCTGTGGGAGGTGATTAGGGTTTGATGGGGGCACGATGAGATTAGTGCCTTTATAAGAACAGACGCCAAGGGTTTGTGCCATCACCCCACCATGTAAGGATACAGGGAGGAGGCAGCTGTCTGCAAGCCAGGAACAGAGCCCTCCTAAGAACCTGAGCATGTCAAACTTCCAGCCTCCAATAGTGTGAGGAAACACATTTGCTGTTGTTTAAACTGGCTTGTCTGTGGTATTTTGTTATGGGAGCCTCGGCCAGCTGACATATTATGATAGCACAGATCCTTAGCTCATTCTCAAACATCTACACCAAGAACGACACCATCTCAAACCAGGAACTACAGTTGGGTGCAATGAATGCAGGACAGCTCTCGTCCACTAGGAACGCAGAATCTAGTTGGAGAAACAGCAGAAAGGTAGACACTTATACAGAAACTAAGTGCAATGATTAAAATATATACAAAACATTCGAGGCTGCCTGTAACTCAACTGTATTCCTAGAAGGCATTTTCCTAGAAGAGATTAGGAAATAACTGAGTTGAACCTTCTTAAAACAAGAGAGGGGTTGACTGAAAAGCATTAGTGCTGGGCGTAATCATGGAGTAAAGTGTGTGATCTCGGGAGTGTGAGGTCAGCAGCAGGGTAGCAGGTTGGCACTGGCTTTCAGGCATGGAAAGAAGAAAAAGAAACCAGAGACACAGGGAATAGTTGCGTTGATTATGGGGAGCCATTGCCACACTAAGGCAACAGGATGATTTTCAGCAAGGGAATCATGGAGTCAGACCCAGGTTTTAGGCAGCTCACGCTGGTAGGTAGATGGAGGTTAGGTTTGCTGATGGGCCTGGATGTAGAGAGAAAAGTTGAAAGACAGTTTTAGTGGTCTTCATTCATTCATTCATCTATTCCTTCATTCATTCAACAAATGTTTTTTAAGCACCCATCAAGATTCAGGTGTCTTCTTGACAAATGGAATACAGTCAAGACACATGAGGTCGCTGTCCCATGAATCTCTGTGTTAGGTGCTCTCTCCAGGGAAAAGTGATCAACTGGCAAGAAAGTAGGTCCAATGATTTCAGTGAGTGGTGAGCGTTATGATCAAAAATAAAGTTGAATGAGAAAAGTCAGTTGGAGTTTATTTTAACCACAAAGTATAAATAAATAATAAACTCATTTTGAAGAGTTGACGTTCAAGCACAGAATTCAAGAATTCTCTGGAAAACCTTAGAGTTAAAGAAAGTGTTCTCAGCAGAAGGGACAGCAGGTGTTTTGTGTGGGAAGGAACAAGAAGACTGGGTTGAGGAAAGAGGTCAGGGAAGGACTTGGAGGGACTTCCCGGAGGTAGACTGGATCTGTCACTTCCCACAATAATGCAGTCGGCCTCCTTTGCATGGCTTAACCGTTTTGATTATTATAATAGACTGATACAGAAAATTATGTGAAGCAAAGTATAGTTTGATAAATTATTATAAAGCATATACCCTCGTGGCCACTGCTCAAATCAACGCAGGGAATCTTACTGCCTCTCCCTCATACACTCCCAACCCTCTTAAATGTCTTAATTACCTTCTCTATTTTTAGAGTAATCTCTTCTTGGTGTTTAGTTAGAGTTTTGTCACTGAAGGAAGCATTTCTTTTTTATTTTTATTTTTTTTTTTTTTTTTGTGACGGAATTTCGCTCTTGTTACCCAGGCTGGAGTGCAATGGTGCGATCTCGGCTCACCGCAACCTCTGCCTCCTGGGTTCAGGCAATTCTCCTGCCTCAGCCTCCTGAGTAGCTGGGATTACAGGCACGCGCCACCATGCCCAGCTAATTTTTTGTATTTTTAGTAGAGACGGGGTTTCACCATGTTGACCAGGATGGTCTCGATCTCTTGACCTCGTGATCCACCCGCCTCGGCCTCCCAAGGTGCTGGGATTACAGGCGTGAGCACCGCGCCCGGCCTGAAGGAAGCATTTCTAAACAGTATGTTTTAGTTTTGACAGTTCTGGCTTTAAAATGGCTGTTAATCTCTAAATATTTGATTTTCATCCCTTCCTCCCTTACAATTTTGAAATGAATCCTGGTATCTGATGTTAATGGCCTCCCATGGCAAGGTTTAATGTCCTTCTTTTCCCTGTAGTTTCTGTGAAGCTGGTGTTTAGAAAGAATTCTTCAGATTCACTTCGCTTTTCCCTGTTTATTTTTTTCTGCAAGACTCGTGGTGGTGGTATTTTCTTTCCTTCTTTTTCTTATGATACTTGCTGCTTGATGCCTGTACCTAGGAGTTCGTTAGGAGTTGGAAAATAATATTTTAACATTTTTTAAATTTATGACTATAAACAGGCATTTCTTTGCATCTATTGTTTAGATAACCAGTGGTACTGTGCATACAGGAAAGGCATGATAAATCTTTGATTCTTAACTTTTCATTTATTAGTTTTTAAGGTAACCAGCTGGTGACAATTAGTTTCCCATTGCTGTCATGGTAAATAACTACAAACCTATAATGCAAACTTATTCTTTTGCAGTTTTGGAGGTGAGAATCTAAAACAGGTCCTCAAGGCTGGCTCCTTTGGAGGCTTTGGGGAAAATCCAGCCTGTCTTTTCCAGTGGCTCGGTGCCTCCTGCATTCCCTGGCTCCTGGCTCCCTCCTCCATCCTCAAGGTCAGCAGTGTGGCAGGTTCACTGCTCTCTTGCCTCTGGCTCCATCCTCACTTCTGTCTTTGCATCTCTGATCCTGAGTCTCCCTCTTAGGAGACCCTTGTGATTACATCAGGTCCACCCAGATAACCCAGAAAAACACCGTCTCAAGGTCCTTGACTTCATCACATCAATAAAGTCCCTTTGGTCGTATAAGGTAACATATTTACCAGTTCTGGAAATTAGGATGTGGACATATTTAAGGGGTCATTATTCTGCCTACCACGGTGACCAATTGTTTTTTCTTGAACAGTATTTTGAACATATGGATTTAAACATATTTGATGGGTTTCCATTAACTGTAGTATCACTTCAAATTGTCCTCTCGTCATTGGCCAGTGGGATTGGTGGGATCCTGCATTTTTCATCTGACCATAGTCATCTGTCTTAGCTTCCTTGTATCTAACTGGTATAAGTAGATAGTTCCAAGAACTCTGGTTTCTTTTCATGGAAAATAGTATTTCAAAACCACAGTCTGTCCATTACTACTGTGTTAGTTATTTTTAATAGGCCTTACCTACTCAAATTTATGATAAAAATATCCTTTTATTTTTATTCTACAGATGTAATTCCTTTCTTCCATATTAAGTGTTCCAGGTTTTGAGACACCCAACTAGAATTTTTTCATAATTACTCATTTGCTCTTTGTCCACACTACATGTATGACAGTTTCAAAATAGCAATACCAGCTCAACCCAGCTGTTACGATGTGGCATTTACTCACCCATTTTCCATCCGTTTTATAGTTGTACACTATCAACTTCATCAAATCCGTAGCTGGCATGTTCTCCATTCCTCTTCCCTCTCATGTGGTCTCCCTGCTACAGGTAGCTATATATTTCAGGCTCACACCAGCACAAGTGTTAATTCCTTTGGTAATCTAATGCTCACTATCCAATAGATTTTCCAGAGAGGAATTCTGGAAGAAATATTCCTGAGGGTTTGTACATTGCTTAGCATTTGTCTGTGATCCTCATATTTGAAACAGATTTGAGTGGATGACAATGCTGGGTTCACATTCCCTTTCCTTGGCTGTCTTAACTGTGGTTGTTTGTTTTCACAGCCTAAGTCTTTCCCTGAAGAATTTCATGACAATTTATTTTTCTCCATTATAATTTACTTGGTTTGGGGGCTTAGATCTACAAGTGGTTTCTTTTTCTTTAACTAGAATATGTCTCGGTGTTGGGCATTCTGTATTAATATTTTCAGATAGATGATGTACTCTTTCAATATAAACTTTCAGATATTTTTTAAATACATAGTTTTTCAGGAGAGCTTTCTTGCTTAAGTTTTAGTATTTGTTGCTTCTTTGCTTTAATTTCCTTTTTTAGGATTTCCCATAATACATATGTTGGATCTTCTTTTCCCCTTTCTTCAATAATGACCCTTTTAAAATTATTATTGTTTCTTCATTACTCTCTGATTTTGCTCATTTTCATTCTCAGTCTTGTAAGACATCATTTACTGTGTATTTCCTCTTGTGTTTATTCTAGTTTAGTATTTAATTCTCAACTGATACTTCTTTTCATTATAATTATTTCAAGCTATA